TAATTCTGGATTCTATCTGAACTAATCATTTTCAAATGATATCCACATTGTTCACAAAGATGCATCTTTGATTTAAAAAAATTCTTATAATTTAATCCATAACAATTTTTGCATTGAACCCACAAATCCCGGTATAGTTTGATTACTCGTTGTGATATCCTCGTTTTGACTATTATTTTCACTTTTACTACAAATGGAACTAAAAATGTAATCGTTACTGGAATTATCGTTACTGGAATTGTCATTACCATTTACAATGTAATTATCAATACAGCTTTGGGACTGAAGATAACTGTCAATTCAACTATTAATGTGATTATTCCAAGTATACTGAGTATCATCCATGTAACGATCGTGATCGGGATTCTTACTCTTAGATCCATTATTTAGATCATTAAAATTCTATAAAAAGAACTTTCTAGTTCACTACAAAAAGGATGATCATTGACAATATCAAAATTATGATTTTCAATATCAAAATATATAGAATAACTATCCCCATTACTATCTTTCACTAAAAAAGTAACATCAGAGAAAAAATTCCAAATGTCCTTGACGCCAAAAAAAAAGATCAACATTAGTGTAATTGTCATGACCACCCCAACCCTGAATGTTTTTATCCGTATCATTTCTATTCGGATCTTTACTTTCACTGGCATTTTCAATAGGATCAAGGTTGCCCATTGATTTACTTAGCCTATATCTGTGTTCGAACTCCTTCTTAAATAACATCGAATTGAACCACCATCTTTTCATAGAGTTTTCTTGCTCCATAATTTCATGAAAATACAATAGATGAATAATAATTCGACGAAAAATCATTTAATTTATTTGAATATCTTATTTCCTATAGAATAAGCATATCCATACAATCACTAGGATTATTAACTAATATAATAAGGAGTGGAAGTATTGAAAAAAAGATTTGTTCTCTCTCCTATGAACAATTTTTTCGTAAAATCTCGTCTAATAACTAATAATCAGTTAAGTTTCTATTACAATACGAGACAAAAAGGACAATATACAGGATGGGTAGAAAGAGTTGTGATACCTGTCTCCAGGAAAAATACAGGATCTAAAATAATATCCCAATACTAAGGATCCATAGGATTAATGATGGATCCAACCAACACAAAAATAGAAAGATTTGAATTGTTTAGTCTTCAAGTTTTTAATTGAAATTTTCTATATCTATATAAGTATGTATCTATCTAAAATATATGCATGTTGAATTCGACTCAATCCTTTTAGTAAAAGATTGGGCCGAGTTTAATTGAAATTCAATTAAAAAAATGAAAGTTATTGATCCAAAGTATCCATTGTCTGAAACTTAAATTTAATCTCCTTCCATATTCAACATCTAAATATTTCACATCATTCTATCAACTAGAAACTATTTCTTTACATACATAAAATTGTTTTAAAAAAAAAGACTTTACGAAATACAAAAAGTTATTTTACATTTTGTACCTAGTCATCTCATTCGAATAAAGTTTGTTACACATTCTTGTCTTTCATTGTGAACGTGTAACTTGCTTTTTCTGTTAAAAGCATTGCATTTATATTCTCCCTTTATGTAATCAAAGAAAAAGAAAATCACGTGACGACTATCTCTTTAAAAGGTGAATTTGTATATGTCACTTGCATAAAGCCATTAATTGCTTCTTAGTATTTTTTTTTTTTTTTGTCCTTCTTAAATAAATAATATCAGTGACGGAGCATGAACTTTTGATTTTGGAGCCGAAAGTATAATATATATATATATATATATATATATATATATATATATATATATATATATATATATATATATATATATATAAATTAGAAAACATGGGGTCATAGCCCAAATTTTACATTTTTAAGCCTATTATGTATAAACTCTTTCACTACTTCTGACCAAAAATTCAGAAAAGAGAGAAAAAGAGAGGAGGGAGGGGGGGGGGGGGGGTTGAATAACCCCTTCTGGCCCTAAAGAGGCTCCCCACCCGTGAGGAAGGGGGTGTGGAGGTAGATGTCACCCATTGCATAAATGCATTTTTGGAAAAATTAAAGGCAACTTCATGAGTCTTGTGTGATAGGAAGGTCCCATTAAAATTAAAAGGGATGTTTTAGAGAGCATCCATTAGACTTGCCATGTTGTATGGATCTGAATATTAACCGAATAAGAAATACCTAAAAAGGAAAATGAAAGTAGTTGAAAGGAAGATGTTGAGGTGGACTTGTGATATGAATCTTTTGGATATGATACATAATATAACTATAAGAAATTTGTTAAGAGTGAAGCGGATCATCGAAAATTTGAGGAATAGATGATTGAGACGGTATGTACATGTCCAAATACAAACAATAGTAAGGATGATAGAGTCAATGAAGAACGGTGGTAATAGGAGATGAGGACGTTAAAAAAAAGTAAGACGATAGTATGAGGCTAGGCTTGTATGAACTTGTTATTTCAGAGGACATGACATTAGATAGGAGAGTACGAATACTTAATAGTTAATATTAAGGTAGATGAGTAGCTTAGCCCACACGTGTGTTTTGTTGTTTGATCTCTATATTGATGAAAACTAGTTCATGATCATACTCATTTTATGATCTCTTTTTCTCATGTCCTTGTTTTACTGTTCACATTTTTCGTTTTCTTGTTTGCCTCATTTGTAGGTTTTCAGGTTTATACGCTTGTTCCATGTTCTTTTCATCTTTTGCTTGCTAACTTTGACATTTTGTTTCCCTCTTTGCCTCATCTACATGTCTTTGTTGACGAACATGCCGATGGTCATCTATGTGACAGTCAGAAAGATTGTCTACATTTTATTTCTCCTCCCTCCTTCTTGAGGCCGGTTATTCTTATTATTATTATTGTTATTATTTTTATCAAAAAGGTAACACCAAGAGTTTATAGTAAATTAGCCTAAAATATAATATAATTTAAAACCAAGAGTTTATAGTAAATTAGCCTAAAATATAATATAATTTTTTTAAGTAATTCTAGTAGAAAAACATAAAATATGGGAGGGTTACTTACACCTAGAAGTTGGATCCATCTGCCTACCTAATTAAATAGATTTAATGTCATTTACAACTTCCATCTGTTCGTTCAACAAACTACTTTTTTGCCATTCAATTTCAATTTGCTCCAATTAATCCAACCGCCTATTATAATCTCTCTTTCACTCTCAATTTCTCATCTCACTCCACGCAAGCGACTTCAACAATGGCAGGGGTTTTGTCCCTTCTCAGGCGATTCTATCTCATCGCTTATAACTGGATTGTCTTCGCCGGATGGCAAGTTCAGATTTACAATCTAATTTTATCTTTTTTCCGATCTTAATCGTTGTTCACTTCATATCTTATTCATCTCTCTGTTTTCTCGAATTTTAGGTTTCAAGTATTGTTCTTGGCTTTGAAAACTCTAAAGGAATCAGGGCATGAACAGGTTTACAGTAACATCGAAAAGCCGCTCTTATTAGCTCAATCTGCTGCCTTTTTAGAGGTATTCTAAAACCCTCAATGATCTAGCGTTTATATGATACATATACTTCGATTCCTACGAAATGGGTTTGAAATTGGAGTGGGAAAATTTGAACTTCTAAAGATGGTAAAGCTTTGTTACAGTCTAAGTCTTCGCTTTCCCATAATATACATCTTTGGAAAAAAGTAGGTCACAACTGAAATCTATTTATTAACTTCGTCATTGAATTCGAACATGATCTCTGTAAAAATGGATCGGAAATCTTTCCCTTTCTTTTCTCAATTAAGACAATCTGCTTTAACAATTAGGGTTCGATACATCTTTTCCCCCTTCTGGTTACGTAGATCAACCTGTTTC